TGTCATTTTGAACTACGGCACTCTTTTGTATTCGTCTTTTTTATTTGAATATTTCGACCAAAAAAATGCGGTTTCTTAGTTTATGAGCACATACAACCCTCGATATAGCAAAGTATAATCGATTAATGAAGCAAGCATTTATGCTCTGGTAGTATACGGTACAATATTTATTCCGTCTGATTGATAAACAGAGCCGTACCAACACTGTTTTGCGTGGGGGGCAATATTTTTTTCCTAAATATAATTTAATTTTTTACACTAATCCAATAATTATAATTGTTTCATATGAGAGGTTTAGAGCGAAAATGTAATACAGAAAAGTTGAGCGGAAAAAATGTCGATGATGAATGAGCGGAAAAGGGATAGCTATATAGTAAACTGTATAGTAAACTATAGTGAACTATATAGCTATCTCTTTTCATTTGACATTTTTCCTCTCAACTTTACTACCTGATATTACTACAGACGTACTGCCTGATTATTTGGACAAGGACACAATTCTTTTAAGATTCAATGCTTTGGAAAATCGTAAAGTACAATAATTTTTTTTTTTAAATGATCAAATGTTATTCGAAGTTTTTTTTTCAAATCGCGAGCAGTTTTGAGTGATTGAAAAACAAAATAAATAAACTGTGAATGCAGTCAAAACTATATACTTTTGTTTTCCATTGTCTTTAATTTTTTTTTTCCTTTTTTTCTTTAATTTTTCCTTATGGTGTTGCTTTAATGTATAAGAAAAACGAGTGGGGCAGTGAAAACACGAGGGGGGCAAAGCCCCTCCTGCCCCTTAGTTGCTACGGGCCTGTTGATAAAAAATCAAGAGAAACATACATAGAGTGTCTGACCTTTTCGCGACAACTTATCAACTTAGCATATTAACTCCATGAAAATAAATTCATGCATTCAAATTTCGCTCAATGAAGAAATAAGAAAACACAAATGAAAATCACAGAAAACTGTTTATTCATCATAAATTGTGAATAATAATAACAACAGTCTTAAATTGTCTGAAAAAAAAATGTTCGTACACTTCATTCAAGTATGTTTCTTCCAATTCTACGCACATTTCATATGAACATTGCAGCAATCTATAGTCGAGTATTCCATTTTTGTTGCATTTTTGCGCTCTCTGTAATATTAATAACATTCAAATATTATTTTCATTCAGTAAATTGATTCCAAATGATTCGAAATACACCAATTAATCCATTTTTGAACAATCTTTACTTTGTACGCAACCCATCTCTGTTTTCATGTTCGTAATACAAACTTTGTATGCGTCTATTCCTGTTCATATGTTTTATATCATCTCCTACGTAAAATTCTTCACCTTCTCTCTTTATAAAAATGGTTTTGTAAGGTATTCTTCTTCTTAACTCTGGGTGAGAGTCTCTCACCATCATCGATTCGGTCGATATCAAACGAAAAAAAATCCTTTTCGTGTAGTCTCTTTAAAAGATCTTCATGCTTTGGGCTGTATGTTTCAACACATTCTCCCAATTTAGTGTTAAATATCCACGTTATTCATCATTTTGGATCAAAGAGCATCACTGCGCTGCCTACGAATGCATTCATCACCGCTTGTTTTATTTGACTTTCGTAAACGAATCGATGGACCAACGAACGAACAAACACAAACAACAAATCAAATTCATTATAAATGTCTGTGTTCAACTTTGATGCGATCGTGACAGCTAACAAAAGGATTCGTCTGTGCTGGTCTTTTTCGATGCCATTTGTGATAAATTGATATCAAAATCAAGCATATATGAAATATACCGCTGAAATATTGCTGAATGAAAAGATTAAAAACATTCCACGGGACGACGAGATGGAATGAAAAGGCGGCGATTTTTTTCTTCTCCTTTCGGTTTTGTTGTGGAATAAAGTGCATTTGATTTTATAAAAGGATTACTAAACGAATCGAAATGATGCTTTATTTTGACTTTGTATCATTTTTTCTCATTATCAATACAAATGTTGACTTCCTTTAGCCTAAATTGTGTGATTTAATTCAATTAAGAGTGGAGAAGTAAGACATGGGGATTAGACAAAATATGCTAAGAACGATCACAACCTGTCACAAAAGGATATGGACAATTTTTTTCTTTTCTTCAAACAATTTGCTTGATTCTAGGCTTGATAAGTAAGTTTTCTTTCCCTCTGGACTAAAAATGACTGGAAGAAACGGAATGAGATTTTGTTTGGGATTTTTAGGCAAAATTAAACTCAGAACTCATCTTCTGTTTTTGTTTCACCTGAAACAAGAAATCAAAGCCCTAGGAAACAATTTCTTGAGCATTTCCTAATTAAGATAAAACAAATACCACCGTAATTATGCCTATCAAGTCCTTGAAAACAAGTTCTAATACCAATTTCGGTTTCAATCGTTCAAACTTTTCCTCATTCATTTCGAAATTGATTTTGGCTCTCCAATACGAAGTACGCAGTGTAATCAGTACACATCCTGTATGTTAAAATGCGTTGTTTATCGTTCGTTGTGTTCGTCAAAATGAAATATATCGAAATCCATTAAGTAATGTTGTGGTCATCAATCATACTTGATGTGACACATCTGATAATATATTAGTTGAGCAGAATCAATTGGGTCGGTCGAGACACGCATTTACGATGTGTTTAAATCATGATAACGACACGATTACGTATGTGTAAAATGCCATCCGACGCAATGCGTAATGGACTCTTCAATCGGCCGCTTTTATTCGATGAGCAATTACTTACCATTCGATGACAAACAATTGGTAAATGGGTTACAATTACACACATATTCATAACGTAGGTGAATCGTCGTTCGCCAAATAAATTGGTCGCTCGTTGCGTCGATGGAAAATGTAATCAAAATTAATGTTGCATGAAGTGGTATTTCGGTTTTCAACCCCCAACCGTCTCTGCTGTGCCTGAGGTATATTGGACGCGCGCATAAATAATTTGCCTTAAATTGGGAAACGTGCACCTGGCCGCAAGGTGACAACCGAAACAATATTTGCTTTGTCAATAGCACCTCGTCCAGAAGAATGGGTCTCGTTCATTTCTTTTTCTCGATTAAGCATTAATTACATTTTGGTCATGATGATAAAGGCAACGATGATTTGTTTTTCTTTCATTGTGTGGGTGGTCGCTGATTTTAGCATTTTTTCAACCCCAGCACAATTTTTTCCAAACGAATTTATAAAGCCGACTTCAACAAATGAACAATATAGAAAAGAAAATCCCATTGAAATGTGGAACATGTAGGATTTTGTGCGCATTGAAGTGAAATTTTAATTTAATTAAAACCTGCGGTGCAACCATTTGCAACGGCATGCGGTTTGCTTGTTCATATTTTATTCACGTATTTCAAAAGGGCCAATTTTATTTTTTAATACGAGTGTTTCGTTCTTATTCAAAACAAAACAAAACGACTCGCTGAATCCCACGAGCGAATGAGCGACTGATGATAAAATGAAAATGGCTTGAAACTGTTCAATGCGTCGCATTGAAGAAGAATTGGTAGCCAGTAGGCTTTTAATCGTTGTTTGCCACTTCCTTTTCATTTCGATAAAAAAAAGCACGAAGACGATGATGGGACGACGACGATTCCATCATTTTTCTGCTTAATGATCGTTCGATTTTCAGCCCATTGAAGTCGAGTTTTGTTATCAAATGTTCAAAGAGCACCGTTTCAAATGCAAACGAACAAACGAACGAGAAACAAAAATAAATTGAATGGAATTATAATTCTATTTAGTTTCAATAAAAACTGTTCGAATCGATCGACAATAAATGAATAGAGAGATTGAACTGAGCATAGCAAACGCGCTGTTTCTCTCAGCCTTCAGATGTCAATCAATTGTGGCAGCGACGTGCGTACACAAAACGTATTCTAACTAAGCGGCGTGGAAAAATGGAATATTTTTTTGGTCTTCTTCGGGTTCGGTGTTTTTTTTTGTTTTCATCCAACCAGTGGTTTTACAGGAGCGCATTAACAAATAGAAACATGCCGTATGTTTGGACTGTTCATCGATCGGTATACTGTATTCATATTTTTTTTTTCATGTGTTATTGAAAGACTTTGCACTACTGAAAACAATCCGTTGAACAATACTCGGGTGTTGTTTTGTCTAGTTCGGTGTTGATTATGAAAAATGTATTTTCGAATACGGCAGTGGAACAACACAACGAACGGACCGTGTGTATACACCGCTGTAGCAACAGCAGCAACAGCACATATATCCAGCAGCCATAAATAATAAATTTTTATTCTGATAAATGAATCAAAGAGATAATATGACATCATTAATGCCTCAATAGGAGGTCTTAATTGGTTTTCGTTTGGTCGTTTACTGTTTTCGAACGCGTTTTCGACTTCTTCAGGCCATATCGGTGTCGATGATTCTCTCTACCTTTCGCTTCGATGCAATTCCGTGCATTTTATGCTGGGAATGGTGGTGGTGGTGCTGCTGCTGCTGCTGCTGCCGAAGCCATCAAGCCAAACGATTTTAAATGTGATGAAAACGGTTGTTACCATTATTAATTATCTTTTGAAATATCGTCAAATCGAATCGAGCGCTGTTCTTGATCAAGAAGAAGGAAC